AAAATCAATGCCATGAGAGAATGAAAGGCTGAGGAATTCTCTAAGATTAAAGGAGAATAAAGAGACTTGAAAAATAAATGCAATGTGTGATCCTGGATTAGAAAAACAAAAATTACTCTAATAGACAATATGGGGACAATTGGTAAAATTTGAATATAGACTGTTGGATAATAATATTGTATCAATGTTAAATATTCTGAATTTTTGGTAATGGGATTATTGTTGTATAAGAGAATATATTTTTTCTTAAGAGATTTTGGGGTGAAGGGTCATGGCATCTGTAATTTACTCTAAAAAAAAAAGAATGAGAACAGTGTGTTTGTGTGTGTGTGTGTGTGTCCTTCCTGCCTTAAAAAATACAACAGACTGAAAACAATTTAATGCTGCTTAAATGATTACAGAGCATGAGGAGTTTGGGCATCACAGTCCATAATGTCTGAAATGGTCATTTTGATTGTATAGGAGTGTGAATGTAAAAGCCAAAGAGAGAGGCCATGAGTATGTGGAGCCCAGCACATTCTCTGAAAGGTGCTTGCTTTTTAAATTCTCTTATGAGCTATGGTTCTTGTCATTTGCCTCTTTCTCCCAGGAATCAAGGGCAGAGAGTTCACTGCCATTTTCCTCAAGTAGAAATGAATGTTATGACACAGGCTCGGGTGGCTTCTCAGTACTCCTCGGCAGTGTTAAATGCGCTGGCTCTCAGTTTCTCACTGGGTTCAAACTGAGCTGCTTCGTCTACCTGCCTTTCCTTTTGCTAGCAGCCCCCTTAGGCCACTAGCTCAGTAGAGCTCCTGCTAGATTCTCAACTTTTTGAATCACATTAATGCAGTAAAGTACTTAGTAAAGCACAAAAGAGGAATAATTTAGGTGTCACAGGCACTTATATATTCAGGAGGAGGGAACTGCCAACATGAAGCCTTTTCCTGTAGGGCCAGAATAAAGCAAGACAAATTGAGAAAATGCCCCTTTCTCCAAGTGTATGTGACATCAGTTATGCCAATCAAGACCAGAAAAGAAAAATGTCCCCTCATAGCTAATCTGAACCTTAACAGCTATTGGGGCAGCAGCTGTACATACATCTCTCTGGGTCATCCATGTTCATGGGCACCAAAAAGAGGTCTAGCCACACATGTTTTTCCCACTAGTCAGCTAAATTTTAGTTTTAAATGAAAAGTGTGCATTTCAAGGATATTAGGTGGATTTGTGTCAGTGCCTGGAGGACTTCAGGTCTATAAAACAAAAAATGAATTACAAAGAAATATAAATGTTGGCATTTTCATCAGTGACATTCATAATATTGTCACAATATAGAAGAAAATAAGTGATTTCCTGTAGAAGAGGATGCTCACTCTAAGAGTGCAGCACTAAGCAGAAGTTGGAGTGAGTAAAGCAAAAAGCAATTAACATGGTGACATCTCTAAAACATCATGTTTCAGAAAGAAGAAAGAAGAAGGATGTGTGCATTCTTGTTTCCAGCTAAGCAGGTCTGTTTGCAACTCAGCATAAGGAAAGCTTATGAGGAAAGCTGCTGGTCTAGAGTTTGATGGTGCAGGTCTTTCCCAGACCAGGGAAGTCTCAGTGGGGCCTCTAGTGAGAACACCGGGTGGGCAGGGGAAAGGCAGGGTCTGAAAGTTTAGATGAAACCACATGGAGTGTGGTTTCTGAGAGATGGCTCCCAAGTGCACTTTCATTGTAGATTATATCTTTCTTTCCTAGGAGCCTCCCCATACAAAATAGACTCCGTCAGACCTTCCTACCTGCCTCACAACCTTTCATCCTAAGGCATCATCCAGATAAATTATGACCCCCACATATCTATAGACTTCTAATCAACTCCTTCTCATTTTTACCTAGTTAGTCCAAAATTTACAACTTGATTTAGGGCATCTAACAAGTAGTGACTGGCAGACTTCTGAATATTTGACTCTCTTGGGACACAGGATCAGATAGTCCTTTGAACTTACATGCAGGAAGTACCCAAATGCTAGAGTCTGGTATCAGCAGTCTGCAGTTCCAGAGATCCCAAATTGACTCACACATCAAGGATGCAAGGTCTTGTGACCTAAGGTCTGTGCTATACTGCTAGTTCATTTAAATGTATTAAGAAAAATTTTTAAACATATACAAATGTTGTTAGTTACAAGGAATTTCCATCTATGTATTAGTCAATATTCAACAACAATCGACATTTTGCCTACTAATTTTTTCTATTCACTCCTTTCCTCCCTTTTTGCCAGAATATTTTAAAGCAAATCTCAAACATTGTGTCATTTTACCCCTAAATACTTCAAAATGCATCTCAAAAAAATAAGAACATATCTCCTATCATTAACAAAATGTATAATTCTTTATTATCTTCTAATAGCTCATCCTCATTCAAAGTATCTTGACAGTCTATAAAATGTCTTTCCTCAACACTTCATTTGGACCCACATCTAAACAAGGGCTATTCTTTTATATGTTGGTTATGTCCCTCAGTATATTTTTATATCTCTTTGGTTTTACAAAAGCACTCTCCTCTCTTTTCCCACTCTCCTGCCTCTCCACTTCCATCCACATCATTCACATGTTGATAAAACAAAGTCAGTCGTTCTACAGAACGTCCCACTTCCTGCATTGGGCTGATTGCTACCTTGTGACACTGCTTAACTTAAATCTCCCACATAACTTGTAGACTGGAAGTTAGGTTTAAAGTCTTGATTGGATTCAAGCTTTTATTTGGGGCGGGAGGGTGGTGGTGGTGGTGGAGGGCAAGAATACCTCATAGTTGGTACTGGGTACTTAATATTGCATTACGTCAGAAAGTATGTAATGTCTGATTGTCTAATTTTGTTGATGCTAATCTAGAGTTGATTTGCTTTCAAACTAAAATAAAACATTTCCATGCATCTAAAATAAAAAGTATAAAACAAAGTATATTCAGAGAAATCTTGTTTCTATTCCTGTTCCTCTATCTAGTTCTTTCCTTCCCCTTCAAGAAAACCAGTCTGGGTTTTTTTTCCCATGGTTTCTTTTTGCAAATATAAGAAAATATACACGTACTTTCTAAATGAAAAGGTAGCATACAATATACTGTATACCACATACCATTTACTATGTACACTATATATGTACACTTGGCACCTTGCTTTTATTACTGCACAATATACCTGGATATCATCTCATATCGGTTTGTAGAGATATTACTCATTTCATTTTTAGCTGCTAAAGTTTCCAGTTTGTGAATGTACCATATTTTGTTAAACTAATCCTATATTGATGGTTAATCTGGTTATTGTCAATCTTTTGCTAATATAAGAAATGCTAAAATAGATTATCTTATGCATAAGTCATTTTGTGTTTTTGCAAGTATATGTTTGGTAAAGACTCCTAGAACTGGAATTGTTGTTCAAAAGATAACATATAGATGTAATTTTGCTAGTTAATCAAATTTTGAAGTCTGATATTAATTTACATTATTTCTCTCATCAGAAAGAAGCCAACAAAACATATAACTGTGAAAACTTAGGTCTCAGAGAAATTCCTGACACTCTACCAAACACAACAGAATTTTTGGAATTTGCCTTTAATTTCTTGCCCACAATTCAAGCTACAACTTTCAGCAGACTAATATATCTTATCTTTTTGGATTTAACCAGGTATGTATCTGAGTTCCTCGTGTGTGGTTGATATTTTACTTAAGTAATAATACAACTTGCATTCCAATTGTTTCCAGGACCTTTTGGGGGGCACAGGGATAATCTGCTTATCCTGCGTGTTTAGATTGGGTCAGTCGTGCTTTTTAAGAAATTCTAAAGGATAGCGATAACAAACCCAAAATAGATCTTGTACTAAATCAGATGCCACGTTATACTACATTATTGGGTGGTAACATTTTAAGAAACATTTATAAGAGAAACACACAATCCACTAACTTTTTTGCCCCTACAAATTGGGAAAAGAGTTCCATTATTTGGTTTTAGAGGCAGAATCAGGATTCTACCTTTTGTGAAACAAAGGGCAGGAGTATCACAAGGAAATAAGGGAAACAAGCAAAAGAGAAAGGGAGCATGTGTGTGTGGATGGGAGAGAAAGGGCTCTGCATGCGGATGGTCTCCGTGCCCCTTGCAGCAGCTCTGTTTCTTTGGTTGTTTAACGTCAGCTTCTGCAGAGAGGGAGAGCATTCACATCCGTAATACGATTCCATCTGTATAACCACCGCGGTGAGGAAGGAGTGATCATCCGCTCGTGTTCGAGGAGGAAATGGGGGCTCAAGGAGATTTCGTGAGCTTACATAGTAAGGAAACAGGGAATCTGCTCTCCTGACTCCCAGTCCAGAGTCCCCAAATAACTCTAGGCCACCTGTGTTGCATTTTCATATACATCATTTGATTCACAACCATTCTACAAAGTAATCATGATTCTTATACTTAATAAATGAAAAAACAGAGGTTGAGAGAAATTGTCGCTTTTTCAGAATGGCACAGACTTATACATAACATGTCGCGTTATATATTATGCATTATTTATGACATACTTTGTTACTTAAAATAGTAAATAATGGTTTGCATTTTTTCTACAATCAAGCTACTAATTATTCCCTAGATTCCAAACACAAATCTCTGAGAGTTCAATCTAAAGGGGCGAGATATCTGGGGAAAAAGAATCTAAATCAGAATGTTCAGAACTGAGGCTAATCATTAATTCAACAGGTATCTATGGTTAATGAAGAAGAATTTTTATGTTTTACTTCAAACAATAATGTACACTGTTTTTACTATGCACAAAAGATGATTTTGTTCATACAGGCCACTATGACAGTTTTTCTTTTTTCTAATAATTAGTGTAAATACTATTATCTTTTTAAGGTGCCAGATTAACTGGATACATGAAGACACTTTTAAAAGCCATCATCAACTGAACACAATTGTGTTGACTGGAAATCCTCTGATATTCATGGCAGAAACATCACTTAATGGGCCAAAGTCCCTGAAGCATCTTTTCTTAATTCAAACAGGAATATCCAATCTCGAGTTTATTCCAGTGCACAATCTGGAAAACTTGGAAAGTTTGTATCTAGGAAGCAACCATATTTCCTCCATTAAGCTCCCAGAGAACTTCTCAGCACAGAATCTGAAAGTTCTGGATTTTGAGAATAATGCTATACATTACCTTTCTAATAAAGACATGAATGCTCTGGAGCAGGCCACCAACCTAAGCCTTAACTTCAATGGCAATGACATTAAAAGCATTGAGACTGGGGCCTTCCATTCAAAAGTCTTCCAAAGTTTAAACTTTGGCGGGACTTTTGACTTGTCTATTATAATAAAAGGTCTACAGAACTCTACTACTCATTCTCTCTGGCTGGGGGCATATGAGGACACTGAAAATCAAGACCTTACCCCAGCCATGCTTGAGGGACTTTGTGAAATGTCTGTTGAGAGCATCAACCTTCAGAAACACCATTTCTCAGGCTTGTCATCTACCACATTCCAGTGCTTCACACGACTCCAGGAATTGGATCTGACGGCAGCTCATTTGGAAGAGTTACCTTCTGGGATTGAGGGCATGAACTCTCTCAAGAAATTAGTTCTCAATATAAATAATTTTGACCAATTGTGTCAAATCAATGCTGCCAGTTTCCCATCCCTTACAGACCTTTATATCAAAGGCAATCTGAAAAAACTTGACCTCGGTGCTGGGTGTTTGGAAAAACTAGAAAATCTTCGGAGACTTGATTTAAGCCATAGTGAGATAGAGGCTTCTGACTGCTGCAACCTGGCACTCAGAAACCTTGTCCACTTGCAGTACCTAAACCTGAGCTACAATATGCCCATCGGTCTCCAGAGTCAGGCGTTCAAAGAATGTCCCAAGCTAGAAATCCTGGATTTGGCATTTACGCACCTGCACATTAGTGCTTCACAAAGTCCTTTCCAAGACCTCCGTCTCCTGCAGACCCTGAATCTCTCTCACTGCCGCGTTGACACTGGTAATCAGCACCTTCTAGAAGGCCTCCTGGATCTCCGGCATCTGAATTTACAGGGAAATTCCTTTCAAGATGGGAGCATCTCAAAGACCAACCTACTTCAGACAGTAGGCAGTTTGGAAACTCTGATTTTATCCTCCTGTGAGCTCCTCAGTATAGACCAGCAAGCATTCCACAGCCTTAGAAACATAAGTCACATAGACCTGAGCCACAACAGCCTGACTGGAAACAGCATTGATGCTCTTAGACATCTTAAGGGGATCTACCTCAATCTAGCCGCCAATAGCATCAGCATCATCCCACCCCATCTCCTCCCCATCTTGTCCCAGCAGAGCACCATTAATTTAAGTCACAATCCCCTGGACTGCACTTGCTCAAATTTCCATTTCATAACATGGTACAAAGAAAACCTGCAAAAACTTGAGGGCTCGGAGGAGACAGTGTGTGCAAACCCCCCACCTTTAAAGGGAGTTAAGCTGCATGAGGTCAAACTCTCCTGTGGGATTACAACTGTGGGCATTTTTTTTCTTGTAGTAATTTTACTACTGTTCATCATTCTGCTTAGTTTTTCAGTTAAATTCTTTTTTAGGTGGAAATACCAGCACCTTTAGTGCTAAAGGTCTCTAGAGATGGCAAATAAATGTATTTAGCAAAATTGCCTTAAGTAGAGAAACTATTGTCTGTCAGTGACCAACTTTACAGGTTAGTTTCTGGCACTGAGCAAGGATTTACTGTGCTTTTCTGAATCCTAGAACTAATGAAACTCCCTGAAAAGTAAACTGAATAAGACCAGAGGGCCAGAGACAGCTGTGAGAGATGCAAAGCCCTTTCCTCACATGGAGGGCAGGTGGAAGTTGAGGGAGGACTGTGGGCAGGGAAAGGCCCGAAGAGTAACCTACGAGGAGGCCGTCTCTCTTACACTCACAGACATCCTCTGAAGCACCTTCTACTCTGACCTTGAAAGGAGACCATCAACACCCTCTTGCTGAGGACCCCAGCTCCCAACTCTCTCTTCTATATTTCAGGTATCATACTTGGATCTGAGTTCTCAGTAATGAAGTCCTTTGAGAAACTTACTGGGGATAAAGTCTTCATGTTTGTTTTACATGGAAAAGGAAAATAATGAATTTAAATAAGTGACTGAGAAATAAATCTTGCCATCAAATTGACTCCATTAATCTCCTTAATCCTTAGATTTCTGAGGTCTCTACAATGCCACTGGGGTACAATAGCTACAAAAATAAAATAAAGACACCATCCACCAGGACCACTCTCCCCCAAGGTTTTGGATTTTTACTGCGTTGGCCACCCTTACCTGAGAACCAGGGAAGCTCCTTCTGCCAACTTGGTATTCTCATTCTTATTACAAAGCCTAACTTACAGGTGGGCTATGGTCCAACTGCTCTTCTCATTTGGATATCTGGTCCTTCAAAGCTTCTTTCCCACAGGAACTATGAGATGAATGATAATTTGGTTCCCAGGCCAGTGTTCAAATGCCTATTCACCTGGGACAGCAATAGAGATAGCACATTTACAATGAAATCTAGTGGAAAAAAGCATCTCTGCATACTAGCTGTCTGTCAGGAACACAATACGCTGGCTTAGTGAGAAGTAGTTTCTGTTGAGACTGTGGGTGTCAGCAAAAGTAGTACCAGCAACAGAGAGGGAAAAGACCATTGAATGCAGATAGAGGAAGAGGACAGGGAAGCAGGCAGTATGGTGACTTAGGCCTTCCCAAGGCCCAAAGGGTCACACTCCTGCAGGGCTTGACCTTCTGAACTCAACATTGATGGACAAGAGAGCTCTTGTACTCAGGTGCTACATTTACGAGGACTCGATTAAGTTCTATAACCAAGTTTAGGTTAGAGATGGTAACTTATAGTTATGAAATTCTGATTGGATGTCATAGTAAAAATAATTAACTTTTATATCCCATCAGAATTTATTAGCCCTGAAGTTAAGGGTGTAATAGTGGGACATAACTGAGTGGAAGCTTGGGGACCAATTCTTCTTTGCATCTGAATGCCCAGAAAAAGCAGAAAGGACAAGAGAATGGTGAAGGGAAGCCATAAACCATTGCAAATGCTCTGATAGTCTTAGGGGATATTTTGTATTAAGTAGGAGGCCAAATTTTTCCACAAGGCTTGGTTAAGGGCACAAGGCCAGGGCAAGGCCCTTGCCTTGGGTGCAAAATTTAAGAGGGGACCAAAAATCTCAGTAGTCAAGACAAAAAAATTAATACACTATTTTTAAAACTTTAAGTTAATGCAAAAAAAATCGATACTAAATAAAACATCAAAATTTTAAACAAAGACAGGATCTGTAACAGTGCTATGTTGAACCATATTAGAGCTGGAGGCAAAAGGAAAAATTAGTTATACCAGTCCTGTCTTTGTTTAAAATTTTGATGTTTTGTTCACTGTGGATGTTTTGTATTAGTTTTTATTTTTTAATGTTGTATTAAAATGTTATTTATTTTCATTACTGAGTTTTTGGTACCCCTTTAAATTTCACACCCAAGGTGAGTGCCTCACTCACCTGAAGATTGGTGAGAAGTGGGTATTCCCAGCTAACTCCCAGGCCGCAGTTAACCGAGAGCCTATTACCTGGTACATTATCTCAGCTTTACTCAAAAGTGTCCATCTCCTTCCCCTTCACTTTCTGGAAGCAGAGAGAAGTGTTTGAGATTTTCTACTTTGTTAGGTGTGCTAAAGGAGAAAAAAATGTGCCTGAAAATACAAAGACATTTAGACACAGCCCCTGAGCCACCTTTATTTCTTCCCTGGGCCTACGGTGGTGGGGCATCCTTCCGAGAAGGCCAATCCGAGACACTGCTGGGTTGGTATTGGTCTTGACTCTGGCAGCCACCAAGGCCTTTTAGCATTGAATTTGGGGCTCAGAAGGGACCTACTGCAGAAGTGAGCATGGCTACTCTCTAAGTGTGCAGGGCAGGGTCCTCCTGGTGTCTTTCTAACTGCTGCTACAGGGAAGGTCCCTCCTTCTAGGGACCTTCTAGGGAGCATGAGTTAAGAAAGGTCAGGTAGCCAGTCCTCCCAAGCCAGAGAGTACCTCCTGCTGACCACACCAACCCTGCTGCCTGTTCTGTGCAGGAACCATTCACCTTTGGGAATTCAGTCAGGAATGTCGCAGGACACATGGTTTTTTTGCTGTGTTACTTATGTTTATTTGCTTGTAGTGAATTAGATGACCAGTTTTGGAAACTTTGGGAAGTATTTCTGGTGATGACCATGAAAATGCAAAAATCATACTCACTGGAACCTTCCTCTCTCCTTTCTTTGTTTCTCTTTCCTTGCTGTTTCTTCTCTTCCTTCTTTCTTCGCTTCCTTCCTTTCATAAAGTATGGAAGTCCACACTGTAAGAATTCCGTCTAAGACAGCACCAAACCATTGAGTTCCCTGTGTAATCTAGCAAATTTAAGCTCTTTTCTCCTTAAGGATTTAGGCTATAGACAGGAAATATTAATTGTTGATCTACCACTTCATAGACACACTATCCTCCATAATATTTAATGTATAACTTAGAAAAAACCAAAGCATTCTGTAGAATATTTCTGATGCGGATTGCATCACATTTAAGACTATAGGGTCCCAAGCTCTAGCAAAATGTAACTACCCATCTTGCTTTCATTTACCAGGCATGCACTCCTTCCATGCAATGCAACTTGCAACTCCATAATTGCACAGTGATCTAAGACTGTGACACCTCCTCTGTTTTAAGCACCAGTAAACTCACCTTACAAAGTCAGAAAGAGAGATTTTGATGACTGCTGTCAATTTTATTGCTTTATCCTGATTACTAGGATAGAATCTGTAGACACGGTGTGTTTATTCGTTTTATGTATCACATGTTGTTGCGGCTCTGACAAGCTACTCCTAAAAATGTGTTATTATTGCATGTTGTAGCTCAGTGAGCTGACCCTGAATTTCAAAGTGTACTGAAGCAAATAGCATTGAAGTCCATAAAAAACTGACTGGCCTCCATCACAGAGAACTCTCTGCATGAGCTGAAACTCCCACAATCTGGGAGCAAATTATACCTTTCTCCTGTGCCAGCAGCCATCACTCTTAACTGAACACAGCACAAACCCAAACACAAGCATTATCTATAAAATTTCAAGACGGGAAACTGTCATATCATTCCTACTTGTCTTATTCCTCAATAAGTGCCATTTTCATTTTTTAAGTTTATAAAAGTATGGAATAAATGGCTTCTTAATGTTTTTATATATTAGTATTGGATACAAGAGGGGTGGCTGACAATGTTTTCTACGTGCTCTGAATGCTGAAGAGAAAATTAACTTGAATTACAGCAAGAGAAGATGTGGTTAGTTCTAAGCAAGTCACGACTCGGGGTGCTAGGTGTTCAGCTAGAATCAAGTGCTAGAATCAAGAGTTAGAATGTCCACCATTGGGCGAATTAGCCTGAAGGCTGCAGAGAATTAGGCCAGCCCAGTGTGGCTCCCAGATACTGGTTTATCACTTGAATCATCTGGGATTTCTTTACAAAACAGATTCCTGTGTCCCACCCTCAATTCTGGGATTCTGTTAGACTGGGATTCGTCCTGGACTCTCAGTTAAATGATTTCATGTAAAATCCTTCCCTAATCTTAATTTTATCAAAAAATAGCAGAAGCATGTGTTATGCTCCATTAATCAAATGAGCTAAAGAAGTGCTCCATATTCTGTAACAGGAAATGTCCTAACAAAATGGGAAAGGGGTCTAAGGAGCTTTGAAACCCAAAGGTGAGACATCCTGGGCAGGCAGTGTATTAGTCCCTTCTGCCATCACTGCCAGCCCACTAGGCTCCTCTCCTAAACTACCCTGCTCCCACATCTACCCCACACATTCCCACTCCATCTCTGCTACTTAGATTTTGAAATAATATATTAGATGTTGTGGGTCTTGAAAAAGGAAAGATCCTATACCTACAGATTATTTTTGAGAGCCATTATTGCTCATGAAAGATTAAACAGTGAACTTTATTGAGTATCCTTTTGTCCCTCCCACTCCCCATCTTTAGTTACTACTGTCCTTTAAGCATTTGATTGTTCAAGACACACTAGATCCTGCAAAGGTAAGTGGAGGAGAGGGGACCACTGGAGCATCCATACAATTCCTCCTTCTCCCTTCCTGTTGGTTCACGGGCTTTCTAAAGAGCTTTGGCCTCTCTTTTTCTCTTTCTTCTATCCTTGGAAACAACCTAAATATCCAACAACAGATAAATGATTAAATAAATTAGGACATGATCTGAATAAATGGGGAGACATTCCATGTTCTTCGGTGGATAACAGAATTATAAGCATGTTGATTCTATTATGAAATAGACAAATACAAGTTAAAATGAGATAAAGTTTTATATCTATTAGCCTCGCAAAAAGAGAAATCTGGATAATAGTGTAGGTAGGAAGTGGTTATAGAAACTGCATGCACTGCTTATGGGTGTAGACTGGAACCGTGTAGCAATAATTAGTCAAATTGATATGTGATACACAAATTCTGTTCTGGGTACATATCTAAAGAAAATTTTACATTTCCAAAATTATATTCCGTGCAGCATTATTTCTGGAGGAGGAAGTTCCAATTTGAGTGTTCACTAATAGGAAAATGGATAGGTAAAATGTGGAAGACACCCACCATGAGGTTCTATACAGTAGTTAGAAGCAATGGATTCGATACAGCTATAGCCATGTAATTAAATCTAAAACATACAGTGTTGGAGGTCGTTGGGAGTTCGTGACTGCCCATTGACCCGCCAGTTGGACCCTGCAATCGGAGGCTCCTCAAACCCTTTCTCTGTCCTCAGAATGTACACTCTGCCAAACAGTGGGAACCGTTTTCAGGAAGGAAGGCTCTCGAAACTAAGGTGTTGTTGAGATCATTTGGATGGTATAAGTGACTGAACCCCATTAAGGCCTCCATATACACTTTTAAGATTTTGGTGGGCGGATGAGATCTACTTTCTTGCGGCTGCCCTAGTCAAGCTTTGTTTGTAAGTTCCCTTGCTTATGAAACTGCTATCCACCGATCCGGACTGGTCTGCCTCTCCTTGCCCTCCACGTATTGGGCCAAAATATAGGGCTTGATAGAAAAAAGAAAAAAAAAAAGAAAACCTAAAATGATATATTAACAT